TAATTTGGGGGTTTTTAAATTATTTTTTCCCCTCTTTTTGAATTTTTTATTCTTTTTTGTATTTTGCCGTCTACTTTTTTGGTTTTAATGTTAATTTTTTAAAATAATTTTCTAAAAAAATTCTGACCCTCATGCGTGAGAAATTTCAATAAACATTTAAGGTCTTCTTGTTTCTCATTTGTTATACCGGTTGGCATGGTCAAAGTCGATGATTGTTTTAATTCTTCAATCGTAATTAATAACTCATTAGTAAAGAGGATCGGTTTGTCATTATAATTTTTATAAATGTTTACTGTCCCGTTAGGAAAATATTGTATTTTAACTGCTTTACTAATGAGTATATATTTAGAAACTTTTATTTTTGTTTGTAAAAAATTTTCAAAATCTTTTACTATATTTTCTAAGTCAATCATTATAAATGGAGGGTTTCTCGACTCTTATTAAATTAACGTATTCTTTTTGTGTTTCAGTAGTTTGTAATTTTTTTTAAATTCCGTGTAAACCAAAATTTCTATCGCACTGACAGTACGAGTGCCCACGAACTGGATACAAATGTACAATTTCAATTTGTAAATGCACTGCCAGTGCGGATAAAAAAGCCAAAAGAATATAATTTTTATTTTGCCCCCCACAAGAATCTGAAAATAAATTGTATTATAATATGCTAATTTAAATTCTTCTTCAAAGACATATAGTAACGTATTGCACGTTGTATTGCCTCCTTTTTTGAAAAGTCCTTCGATTGAAGTGAACATGTAGCTTCTTTTGTTATTATCATTTAAAACATGCATATTAAGTACATTAAACCATAATAATCTTTTATAAAATTGATTTGTTGCTGGTATTTTGGGCAAAGGCAAATTTTGCCCATAATCGAATTTACAAAATAAAACATTATTTTCTGACATCATATTCTGTTTCATAGAAAAATAATGTTTTACATTGTCCAGATGGTTTAAATATTCTTGATGTAAGCTATTAATCTTTTCATTTTCGAAACAAATGTCACAAACGTTCGTTCGTGGTTTACTAAATGTAAAATTTATATTATAATTAAAATATTTTTCATAAGACGACTCTTCTATAGGAGGAGTAATATTACCAGTAACTGATTGGTAATATTTTACAAAAATTTTATACATTTTTGACATAGACAAATCAGGTTGAGTAAAATAATTTAAATTCGTTTTTTCGCGACTATAATGTGACTTGGAGTGAGGAAGTGATTCACAATGTAATTTTATTAATTGCTTGATTTCATCAGTCAATTTTATAAAATGATTAGAATGCTTTCCTCTATTGTCTTCTAACGTATCATTAGATTTGATTTTTTTTAATTGTTTTTAATCTTTTTCTACTTATTTGTAAAAAAATTAAAAAAAAACTTTTTGCAAAAACCAATATTGTTATTTTGAGAATGAAATAAATATTCCCACCTAACAATTCTAGAATACAAATAACCGCTATTACAAATGTTTGAAGTGTTTTTTTGAGTCATCATTCCACTCAACATTACGTTTTTAAGGTGGTAATCACCGCAGTTCCAAAACCTTTGATATAATTCCTTCTGTTTATCTGTCGTAACATTTTCAAAGTATTTTCTTGTACAACAATCAATGATTGCTTTGAATATTTTTGCCTCGACTGTTTTGCCTGATTCTGAAATGTATTCTTTACCCTACAATAATGTTCTCAATTATGACCAAATAATTTAATAATATAGTGAAATCCCTATTATCCCAATTAATTTATTTAAAAACTTTTCAAACATTCGAATCATTATTTTGCACAAATTTTATATACCCTAAAATTCACTTCACAAAATTTTTTATTTCATCTATATTCATTTTTTAATAATATTTATTTGCTCCAATTTTCATTTTATATAATAGCCATTTAAATGAATTTTTATTAGGTTGAATTTCGTTGCATAGAATTTTCTTTTAAGTGAATATTCATATATCCTAATTATAATTTGACAAAATTTATATATAATATGAGGCAAAAGTTTTAAACTTTCAAATAAAAAAATTTTTTTTGCAACTTCTTTAAGTACGAATTTTATTACAAAATATTGTTTTAAATATCTAAAAGGAAGTTACTAATTTAATAATTGTTTAATTTACTGTTTTATTTTACAATGACATAATAATTTTTAATGATTTATAGATTGAAAAAAATATTTTGTTCATTTGAAGGCTAAAAACTTTGTTCAGAATTTTGTGGTTATAAGTATAAAATGTGTAGTAAGAAAAATCACTTATATTTGAATTCTAATTATATAAAAATTCGTATGAAAGATAATAATAATTATAATAATAATAAATAATAAAATAAACCTATTAAGAAATTAAAATGACTATTTTGTTAAATTTATGATTAAAATTAAATTAAAAATTTTTTTAAGCTCTTTATTTTAAAAGAAAATTATATATAATGAAATTATATTTAATAAAATTATATAACAATTAATTATTATACACTTAAAGAAGATTATTATATTATATTATTATATACACTATAAGAAATTTTAATTAGTATAGAGTAGAAATTTTATCAAATATGTTATAATTCATATTGAAGTTTTGTAAATATTTACTAAAATTTGAAATACATTTACTAAAGAATGAAATATATTTTCAGAAGTCTCATTCTTTTTATATTAATATTTCACATTTTGTCACGTTTTCCCTAAATTGCAAAAAATTCAAATTAAAATTTCAAATTCTGAATGAATAGCTATAGGTTTGTACTTGTTAAAATAAAACAATTAGTTATTGAAAAATAAAAAAAATATTATTATGAATACTCTAAAGAAGGACTTCGAAAATGAAAACATTATAATTTTTATTTTTTTATATAAATAAGGATATAATTTATACAAATTCTTTATTTTAAATCATACATTTTTTGTAATAGATATTATTTATATATTAATAAAATTTAAGAAGTAGTACCTTATTTTTTGCAATTTTTTTTGACAATTTTCTTCATTTCTAGTCCTTTTTCTTCCAGAAACGAGAAATTCTAAGTTTGTCATAATTACTGGGGATTGTAACAAACGAATTAAAATCAATTTTAATTGCCTGTTTTTCTTGGGTAGATTTCTCTTTTAATGTTTTTAATGACATTTTAAAAATTTGTAAACTCAAAAAGTCAAATTTACCACAGTCGTGTGAATGTTGTATAAAAATAAGTATATGAGGCATTCTTTGAAAAAAGCAACTTAAAAAAATTTTTTTTTGGTAACAATATATTTTTGATATATGTAAAAATTAAAATAAAAAACATGATTTTAGGTCCGTGTAATGCGGGATTGCCATACAGACAGGAGTCAAACTTTTTCGAAAAATAATTTTCAAACCGCTATAACTATAAAATGAATGAATTTTAAAATACCCAGAGAGTTTTTTTGTAGAATTTCGTAATCTTTTAAACTATGTGCCGCAAACAATTGAAAAAACAATATTTCATAGAAAAAATTTAAAAAAGTTTGTTTTTTAATTTTTAACCCCTTATGCCCCCTTCAATTTTTTTCAAAACTACTTGAAAATTTTTCTTATTTCATCACCTTTTTACCCCCCAAAGGGAATTTTGGGACAGCAATATGTGTATGAGTTATAAATTAAAAACCGGCTCAGCGCAACGTTATTAATCTGAGCAAATGCTGTCGTGTATAAAATTTGAGTACCCAAAAATACCACTAGGTATCCTTTTTCTTCTATTTACATATTTTAGGCAAGCGAAGCATTTGCTCAGATTGATAACGTTCCGCTGAGCTGGTTTTTAATTTATAACTCATACAAATATTGCTGTCCCAAAATTCCCTTTGGGGGGTAAAAAGGTGATGAAATAAGGAACATTTTCAGATAGTATAGCAGTATAGCAACCCCGCATTACACGGATTTGAAATTATGTTTTTTATTTTAGTTTTTACATATACTAAAACATATATCATTGCCAAGAAAAAAAAATTTTTATGTGGCTTTTTTAGAGAATGCCTCATATAAATATAGAAAAAAATTAAAATGACTGAAAAAGTAAAAATTAAATTTTTTTTTAGTTTCGGATAAGATGGTCACAAAACTGTCACCACATTTTTTAACACCATTTTTTTCGTGCGGCTGTATTAAACAGAAAAATGCGTCGATTTACTTGGGTATCACACTAAAAATGTTTTTACGGTGTTATTTATTAGTTAAAACCAATAGTTTGATATTATATTAATATTTTTTTAAATAATTTAATTTTGGAAAATGTACATTTTATATTGAAAAAATTCTATTTTGTTAGAAAAATTTTCTTTGAAAAAGTCATATTTTATGAAATTTAATCGAAAATAGTCGCATTCACCAAAAAAGTTGATAAAAGTCGAAAAAGTTGTGCAAATCAAGGCCTTTATAGTATAATAATTTTTAATATAATACTTTTTAATTAATTTTGTTTGCATTTTTATTGATGTTTCTTTTTAAATTTGCAAATATTTATGTCAGGGATTTCATACTTTAATAATTTTATAATTATAAAACAAATTAAATAAACTTTTTCAAATTATTCCCGCCGGTAAAAGTGTTATTGTCATCTTAATGCACTAATAATTAATTCAATTGAGAACGATAGAGAAAGATTAGCGATAGAAAAATGAGTTTGCTAATATATGGATAGCGAATTCTTAGCTCTGGTAGCTAATATTTAGCTGCCACAGCAAAACATATTAGCTATGGAAGCTAATTATTAGCTGTATTAGCTAACAATAATTGCTATCCATATAATAGTAATTGGGGTTAGTTAAAGTAACTAAATTTTAGCTAATATAGCTGACTATTTTTCTCCGTGCAAAAAACTCAGTTATATTAAATTATACAACAACTTTAAGAAATTAAAATAATGATTTACTCAATTTACATATACTTAGTAGGCGTTTCTGTAATTTAAAAAGAATGCTATAATACTCTTCTCTGCCTCTACTCCGGAACACTTTTTTGGCTGGGGCAATGTCAAGGTAGTTTAAATTGAAGCTCCGTCTCTCGAAACCGGTTACTCAGCGCGTTGAACTTCCTTGATACTCGTTTAACGGTGATCGTTTTTGTGAGAATTAGACACAAATTAGAGGACAAACAAACAGTAAAATGCTCAAAAGAACTTTTATAATTTTATATTTAAGCATATTGGTGATTAATTTAAAAGTGCAAGCTATTGGAAAATATAAAGGATTAGAATTTCTCGAACCATGTTCCAAAAGAGATCCTAGTTTTGATATCTGTTTATTAAAATCGTCTAATGAACTTATACGACAATTCCGAAAAGGTGAGGAATATAAAATATTTAACACTTTTTTTGAAACTGCTTTTCAAAATAAAATAATATTTTAATGAAAATAAGTTATCCTCAAAATTTTTTGGCATTTCATTAACAAAATGTGAAAGACAATTATTTTCAACGTTTTGCTTATAAATTTTTTTATACATATGGAATGATAAATATAATTTAAAAAAAAATTAACTAAGTAAATAATAATTAACAATAATCAAATATGGAAAAGTTTTTATCTTACAAAATTCATAAAAGTAAAGGAAGAATAAAATTTTATATTTTTACAATTAATCTATAATTAAATATATATTTAATTATAATGTTTTTAATATACAATTTAATATTTTTAAAAAATAGTAAACCAATAGGTAATTTTCACTGATAATAAATTGTGTGTGAATTGATTTCGAAATTTATTCAGATGACACTTTAATTTTAAATCTTAGAAGTTTCTTTTACTCTTGATTGGAGTTTTTGAATATCCACAAAGTGATAAAAATATAACTAAACATTCAAACAAAATATTATTGATTCTTATAAATCTTAGTCAACTAAAACTGACATATTGACTTTCGCTTCAGGCTAAATGATTCTGGTCACGCGACATCATTGTATTGCATGTATCACATAAAACAGTTAGAAAAGGAAAGACATTTAACTTCATAAAATTTTAAGTTTCAATTCTTAACGAAAAATTTATAAAATAATAAAATACATGATAATTGTAAAGTACTATATATTGTTTATAACAAATTGAGATATGATTTAAGGATGAAAATCAGAAGTTAGTTTAAAAAAATTGACGTTTGGAAGAAAGCATATATGTACGAACCGTGTCATGAATTTTTACTACATTCACTCATTACCATGTCCTACATATAAAAATTTTTTTGGAAGTAACAAACAGATGAAACAAACATATTATTTGAGAGAAATTTTTAAACTAGTTTGAAAAAAATTAAATACTTATTGTTAGAATTTTCATTAAGATTTTTTTATATGAAATCATAAAAAATCGAGATAATTGTAAAGATTCAAAATTCCTAAATATGTTCATTCTAACCAGGGCCCGATAGTTTTCCCTATTTACAAAATTTAAATAAAGTAAGTTTTTAAGATTAATATGAAATTTATTAAATTTTTTTTGAATAAGATTTCTTATTTTTAAAGTAAATAAATATTTATACTGTTATAAACAACCGATTAATTTTTTCGTCCGTTATTTTGGGTCCGCCATTTTGAATTTTTAAAGTTTAATGTCAAATTTGAAATTAGCGATCCCAAAAGCCCGCGAGTAACAATTTTAAATTAAATCCAATTGATTTTTAAATTTTAAGTACTTTGTTTGCCATTTTGAATTTTGGAAAACTATAAAAAAATTATATTTTATGAACATTCAAAATGTTGAAAATTGATTTTTATATATCTCTTTATTTTTTTATACATATTTTTTTAGAAATAATATTTAAATATTAACCTTATTATATATTATAATTTTAAGAAGGTGCTAAGTTATATTTTTAGGTATTTGCAGAGATAGATTTTTAACATCAATAACTTCGTTTTTAAATATTCTCCAAATTGTTCATAATACTTTTAAAGATACATAAATATTTTTTAATAAATAAGGCAAAAAAGGCAGGTTCTTCAAAATTTTTAAATTTCCAAAATGTTAAAAACTCTGGATAAAATAACAGTACACTGAGAAAAAAATACTGTTGAATCAAATAGTTCCATGCTATTGAATTTCCTGTCATTGATTCAATAACAATTTTATTGATTGAAAAGTATATCACCGTCCGACAAAATTCAACTTTTTTTTGCCCCACAAAAAAATCCAACATTTTCGGAAACTAGGACCAAAAAAAAATTACCCGTGTCTGGCCGTTTTGCTAGATCAAGTTGTTTGTGGTTTTAGGGGTGAAAACAATCCCTAAATGAAAAGTGACAAGATATCTTTTAAAAATTATTAATTTTTTATAAAACTTGGTATCTGGGGGTTTTCTGGGTCGCTGATTATTAATCTGATGTCAGATTTTTAAAAAATTCAAAATGGCGGACCCAATATAGCGGTCAAAATTTTAAGAAGTTGTTAATTTTTTATAAAATTTGGTATGGAGGAGGAGTTTTTGGGGTAGCTGATGTCGAATCTGATGTTAAATTTTCAAAATTAAAAATGGCGGATATAAAATAAAAAATTAATAACTTTTTAAAAATTTAATCACCATATTGAATCCACCATTTTGAATTTTGCAAAATCTGACATCAGATTAATAATCATCGACCCCGAAAACCCCAAAATACCAAGTTTTATAAAATATTAATAATTTTTCAAAGATATCTTGTCACTTTTCATTTAAGGGTTGTTTTAACCCTAAAAACCACAAACGACTTGATCTAGAAAAACGGCCAAACACAGGTATTGTTTTGGGTTTTAGTTTCCGAAATTGTTGGATTTTTTTGTGGGACAAAAATCGTGTCGGACGGTGTATTATATAAAACGAAAAAACGAAACTATTTAAATCAAAAGTTTGGTACTGTAAAATTATCCAGTGTGTAAATTGATGCTAGGGTAAAAGGTACAGAGACCGACACCCTGACAGTGAACGACACCTGCTATTAAAAACGAAAATAACTATAAAAATAATAATATTGAATTAAATATCACTAGTAAATTAATTAAAATACAATAATTAGAAATTTATACATTTGACACAAAATTTTATTACTTTATATTTTCCTCAATTTTTTACTTTCTAGAAAACTAATCTTAAAAAATTTGCTTTATTGATTACAAATTTTATAAATATTAAGAAATTGTTGAATAATTATATTTTAACACTAGAACTACCGACGGTACATTTTGTCCCGCGGCGCACGGTTTTTCTTGTGAATCTTTCGTTAATGACTAGCTAGAGGGCTGAAATTTTCTGACTTTAAATCTTTTTTGAGTTTTCCATGGTTATTAATATTGTTAAAAACAATTATTATTACAAAATTAAAAAATAATCATTTTGTACAGTTCATTGAAAGTGTAAACAATGATAATATATGTGGAATTATGCTTATTTTGTATTGTAATTGCCTATATTAATATTTACAAGACATGCGTTTTTGATACAAATCTACATGGTAAGCAGCGCAGCGGAAGTTAGTGTACGAAACTGCTGATGAAACGCGCTTATCAAAAAAATCGTTTTTGGCAAAATCTCAATTAAAGTTTTGGGGTTTTCATATACATAGTTTATTGTTGAAGGTTTATTTATTATTTTAAGGCCTACCGGAAGTTTGCAACTTTTCGGGATAATTTTCTATATTGCTCTAAAGTTAACATAAAAATCGCAGTTTTTTATCACTCAAACCTATTTTTTAGTGAAAAATTAAAATGCTGGAGGATTTCTGACTTCGGATTTGTAATCTACGTGAAAAAACCTATAAAAATCATGTATCACTTTATTTTTCTAACTTTTAAATGTTAATAAAAAAAACAAATGAATAATGAGACAAAATGTACCAGTGGTAGTTCTAGATATGCAGGATCTTCGGTAGTTCTAGTGTCAAAAAACTCTACAAAATTAAAGAAAAATATTCATAGGTATCCTAACATTTTTTCAAAGTTATGGGCAAAAAATGATTTTTTAAAAATTTTATTATTTTTATTTGATTAAAATAATTTTTCTATCTAAAGAATTTTCTTTTATAATTAATTACATTTTTTTCGGTGTAAAAATGTTATTATAGGGTGAGACTTTGTCAGAAAATAAGCGATTTGCAAGTGGTCTTTCGATTTCTCTGAAACTGGGGAAGTAATTGTTTCAGGTGAGATAGTTTTAACCCCCAAAGGATTTTTCAACATTGTTCCCGCTACACCATTTTGAAAATCAATGCATTATTTTTTGAAAACACTATATTTCCAAAACTGTTGAACAGATTTTGTAAAAATTACAGACAATATAGTTAAATATATGTAGTTTAATTTAATATTATATAAAAGAAAATTTTAAAATTTTCATCCAAAAAAAGTAAAAAAACATTTTTGAATTAATTTTTAGTTAATTTGGCCTAATTTTAAAAAATTTTAATTTACATGTAACGATTTCTTTGGATTTCACCTTTCATTTAGAAAAAAGAAAATTATGGACACTTGAATAGTTTCAGAGAGTTTCTTCCTCATCCTCAAAGAGCACGTTGTGCTGAGCTTTGTATTGATTTTTGCAATTCTAGCGAGTGCGCGTTTATACTTGTTTTTTGACCGAAGCACTCTTTCGTCTAATATGCTATTTTTGTCGTTTTGGACGAAAAAAACACACATTTGATGACACTATTACATTTTTTTCAAAATTTTTTTTAATCTTCCTCCTTATTAAAATAAAAAATTTGTAACATATTTCCATGATTTCAACACTTGAAAAAAAATTTAATATAACTGTGGAATATTCCCTTAATATCACCTGAATTTCCCCTCAATGCCACTAAAATATTCCCTGAATTTTACCGTGGAATATTCCCATGAGGCGGACATTTTGAATTTCACAGAAAAGCATGGGAATATTTCACGGTGATATTCAGGGGTTATACCGTGCTGCTTGGGTTGTGTAAAAGTAGAATAAAAATATATTTAATTAAAAGGATTCTACTGTATTCATATTAGGCAACTAATGCAATGTGAACTAATGTCTTGTTCATATATAATTAGTAAATTTTTACTTTATTATTATATTATTGATTTTCACTGTACTAGGTTTACCACAGTTAGGATATCCAGAAGTTGAACCTATTATTTTGGATCAAATAAACATTGCAATAGGAGAGGCTCCAAATAACTACAGAGCACAATTTAGAAACATAACTGCAAAAGGTGTATCAACATTGCGAGTTTTGGAGCTTCAATCAAACATTAGTGATAGTGAAGTACTATTACAAGTTGTCTTAGATATTCCAAAGATTGGAGCTGTTGCTAAATACCGATCAAGTGGTACTTTAGTTTTTGTACAAGCTGGTGGTGCTGGTGATTACTGGGGTGAATACAGTAAGTTCAATAATAATAAATTATTTTATGAGTAATTATGTGAATAATATTTATCCTCATATCATCCAGATATTCAGGATATTGCAACGGACGTTCTGGACATATCATTTGATCTTGGGGAATTATGATATCCCTATGATGTCCTGAGGATATTCTAGGGTGATAAACTAATTTCCGAATATTTCCTTAACGTCCGTCCCTACTGGAAAATCCCTCATAGGATTCCACATATAAACCTAATTAGGTTCCATGTAGAAATCCATGAAGATTCACACACATAAGAACACACGAATTTCGGACATGATTGTAGTAAGAAACCATATGGAATACCTTACAGTTTCCCATGTGAAATTCCATTTAAAATTACGCACATATAGGATCCAATATGAAATCCCACGTAGAATTTTTTAATCAAACAAAAAATTTTTTTGAGTATTAACATTTTTTAAAACTTGAAATTTTAATTTACTAGTAGTAAACATTTTTAATATGTGGAGTGACCACAAAATTTTATCACATTTTGTGTACCTTTTACCGTTTTCCAAATATAAAAAAAATGTATTTTTTTAAATGTCAAATTTTTCAATCTTTTATTGGATTCCAAGTAGATTCCTACACCAAATCCTGTTCGAAATTCCGGGGTGCTTTTATATGGAAACCTTTATGGATTCCGCATGGAATCCAATATAGGTTTCCATGTTGAAACCAATGTGGGTTATCCAGTAGGGGTATAATATTCTGAAATATCAACGAGAGAATCATCATTTTATTGAAATATTATTTTAGAAAATCGTCTGAGATTTTCTTAAATAAATATTTGGTTATTTAAAAAATTTGTAATGTGTAAATATCGGTTAAATTAAATTTCTGTCAACTAATAATTCGAATAAATAAAAAATTGTCTAAAGAAAATTGTGTCTTTCAGAATTCTATCAAATTAAAATTGAAACAAAAGTTATTTGGATTTATTAATGTCTCTCATTTCATATAAGAGAAAGTCTGGTTGCTCCGGACATGAGTAATATAAAAAATAAGGTATAATTTGCAGTGATAAATTAACTGTTATTTATACATTATTCAATATTTTTAGTTAATGTAATTCAATATATGTAGATTCTTTTAATAATAACTTTAAAATAAACTATAAATAACACAGGTCTACAAAATAAGACTTAAGAAAAATTGCTTATCACGTCAAAATTTTGAGTAAAGTGGGGGTAAAGTCCCCATAAACCGTGTTTTTGAGGGTTTTCAACATTTATTTTCTCCGTATCCTGACGTGCTAAAGACTTCTATATAGGCTTAAATTAAAGCTTATAACATATATTTTAAGATCCATATGCATAAGATAAAAAAAAAATTTTGAAAAAAGTGGGGGTAAAGACCCCAAAAATCGAGTTTCTGAGAGTTTTAATATTCTTTTTCTCCAAATCCCGACTTGCTAATGACATCTATATAGGCTTAAATTAAAGCTTAAATCCTACACTTTAAGACCCATATACCGAAAATAAAAAAATTTGAAATTAAAAAAAAGGGGATAAATACCCCGAAAACGTGTTTTTAAGAAATTTCAGTATTTTTTTCTATGAATCCCGGTGTGCTAAATACTTTTGTATAGACTTTAATTAAAGTTTTAATCCTACACTTTAAGACCGATATGGGGTGAATAATACAGTAGCCGGCCACTTAAGAAAATGTCGCAACAGTAGTCGTACTCCAACATCAGCTTTTAATTTATAATATATAAATTTTACTTAAATACTAGTATGCAAAGTAAAAAGTGACGTAATATTGAGATTAAAGAATTTTTTATCTTTCTACATAACTGATTTCTTTTAATTTAAAAAAAATTAAGTGGTCGACTATTGGGGGATGAAAGATCTTACTCCTACGCAAAATAAATTAATTTGAAATAGAAAAAAAATGGGGTAAAGGCTCCAAAATTTTTTAAAGAAAGAATTTAATACAAATTTATTATTTATTTTATTTAAAATTTAATACAAAGAATTTTTTACCTTTCCATATAAAATATATCTTTTAATTTTATAAATAAACGTAAAGTGACCGACTTTTTGGTAGATTAAAGCTTTAATTTAAGCCTATATAAAATTCTTTAGCGCGTCAGGATTCGGAGAAAAGAAGTGTTGAAAGTGGGAGAATTTACCCCCACTTTACTCAAAATCTTGACGTGATATGCAATTTTTGAACCCGGGATCGTGTTCAACACACAAAAATACATGGGAAAACACTCTGATATCTCATAAAATAAACCTTGTAGACCTGTGTAATTAAAAAATAAAGTAGAAAAGTGTCAGATAACTACCGGACACTTTTATGTTAAGTGTATTTTATTTGATATTAAAATTAAATTAGAGTAAATTTCATAAAAGTAGTTACTGTACTCAGTTTTTGAACAATTTAGTTAGACATTTTGTTTTAAATTATATATCGCACGTATGTTGACGAAATTCTGTTGATATTTACACGATACGTTAGAGATTATTACTAAAATTAATTCTAATTTTTCTATTTTTATAGAAGGAGTTAAAGCTAAAGTTTTTATACGTGCAAAGCTTTTTAATGTACACAATAGACAGTATCTTAAGTTGCAACAGTTAAAGATGGATTTTAGTGTTCGTGAAATAAAGATGGAAGTAAATAATATACACGAAGGAAATAGTATTCTCCGTAAGTATGCAAATTGCAGAAAGTATGTTATTATCATATTCATTCTTACTCAAAATTCCTATACATATAGGATCCTATGTAGGTTCTTTTCGTGAATTTGTTTCAATTAATTAATTGATCACACGCTGTAGATTTTAACAATCTGACTAAATTAATCAGCTGATCAATTAAAACAACTTCACGACTGTTATGCTTTCACATGATAATGTTTTTCACAGGTTTTCTTGTAAAATATTTGATAAGTGCAAATGAAATTATGTTTAGAAGTCAAAAATAGTAAAAGAATTCGCTGTCATGTGCCCAAACTATAACTTTGTGTACCAAAAACAAATTTTTTTGCACTTTTATGGAGACAAATTACAAGTTGCAGATCTAGTAGTACTAAAAGAGATGATATATCAAGAATTTCCCAAACACCTCCGAAATTTCATTTTACGGTAAAAAATCGTTTTTTGATGTATTCATGTGAAGAATTACTCATAACGTACTAAATTTTTAACCGATTTACAAATTTTTTTTGCTTTAAAGGGGGAAAGTACATCTTTTTAACGGCGTATTGCTTGTTTAGTCAAAATAAAAACTGACGAGCCTGCAGTTGAAAGTTTTTGCAATTTTTAGATTTTTTCATCTTTAACGAAGTTTTAGGTTGTTTTTTGATATCGGGGATGTTTTTAAAATCAATATTTTGAAAGTTCGTTTAATTACAAGTAAAATGAGCTATTTCTTAATAAGATTGGTTGAAAATTAACGGAATTGTGTGATTTTGAACTGTCTTGGTTAAATGATGTGTACGCTAGGAGGATTAAATGCGTTTATTCAAAAATTTTGATTTTTCCCTTTCAAACGAAAGCAAAATTAGTTAAAAATGGAGGAAGTTATGAGTAATTCTGTACATGAATACACTAAAAAGTTGTTTTTACCGAAATTTTGGTGGTGTTTGGGAAATTCCCGGTATACCATCTCTTTTAGTCATACTAGACTTACAACTTGTAATAGGTCTCCATATAAGTGCAAACAATTTTTTTTGTTAGACAGTGTAATATTTTGTCAAAAAATATATTCTCAAAAATTACATATTTCATTAAAGTGCCAATATATGCCGAACTTTAATATTCAGATGACTAAATAAGTAAATTTAATTAAATTTTAAATTAAATAGTATATTTTTAAATAAATATTGCGGGATGAATTATGATTTATTATAAGTCGGAATAAGTAAAATATATTATTGACTAAGAATGGCTGGTGGACAAATACCATGCTTGAGCAATTAATTTAATTTTTAATCAAGTCTTAATCAATTTTTATCAAGCTTTAAATAATAACTTTTATTTGCAGAAAGTGCTTTAAATTTGTTTATCAACAGCTACAGTCAAGATCTATTGAAGAAAATGAAACCAGATATAAGACGGAAGCTTGTTCATTTAATGAGTAATTTTGTGGAAAATCTCTTTTCTCAAGTGCCTTACGATGCTTGGATGGAAAATTAAATTATAAATACTGTGTTATAAGTCTGCTTATTATATAATTCTTAAATTAAAATGTAAATTAAATAATTACCCAGGTGAAAATGTTCACGTAAAACAATATATAGAAATTCGTATTGCGTAAAAATCTATTTGAATTTCCATGTACTTATGCAAATTATACGTAGTAGTTTGAAATACTTCGACGTGGAATTTTACGCAAAAAATTTTCTTTTTTACAATTTCTTAATAAATAAGTCCTGAGACCCCGTTTGGCGTCACAAAATTCAAAACTGACGTTTATTCTTACTTATATGTAACCGTTTAGGAATAATAGAAGATATTATTTATATATTTATCGACTTCTACGTGTATTTTAAAGTGTAATTGTTTCAATATACCACCCGAAATTCACGTGTTTAAAAACTATGTTCATTTTCACGTTAATAACACAGGCACACAAAAAATAAAAAGCTGTTTGACCGAGACACTACACTCGTCTCTTTCCATGTATTTTTTCCCGCTGAATCCGAAGTCAGAATTGTCAGATTGGTTTTTACTTTTGAAATAAATTCAAAAAACTGCTCAGAAAAAAATAAAATCAAAAAATTTATGAATGTCACTGCGATAGTGTAATTCCATGTATTTTTTGCCGCTGAATCCGAATTCAAAGTCAGAATTGCCAGATTGGCTCAAATTTTGAAGATAATTCCAAAAAAATTGATGTTAAGTTTTTTGTTACTTGAGTTTTTTGCAATTATCTTAAAACTTTGAGCGAACCTAACAATTCTGACTTTAGATTCGGTTTCAGTGGCAAAAAATACATGGAATTACACTAGCTCAGTGTCATTCAAAAAATTTTTCACTTTTTGATTTTATTCTTTTTTCTGAGCAGTTTTTTGAGTTTATCTCAAAAATGAATACCAATCTGACAATTCTGACTTATGATTCGGATTCAGCGGGAAAAAATACATGGAAATAGACTAGTGTTGTGTCTGGGCCAAACAACTTTTTATTTTTTGTGTACCTGTGTAATTTCACCAGATTAGAAAAAAGCATAGGTACTATAATGTATACTTTTTTCATATTTAATATTTAAAACAAACTGCTGTACTGTAGAAAAATAGTATTTTAGTTGTTTAAAATTATATATTTTAGGAAAGTTTAATATTTATTAAATAATAGATAATAATGTATGACGAGTGAATTAACCGATATTTCATTGTTTATTGATAATTTAAATTGCAACGCCCAAGTCACCTTCAAATAGTGTAATTTCCAAATATTGTCAAATTTTACTAATATATTTATTTTAAAAAAATCATACATTGGTCGAATGCACTGATCCATAAATTACCAAAAGAGTAGCACGCGTATAGCCGACAATTCCTTTGAATCCATTTTCCCGAATGACCAGAATCCTGAATGACGAGAATCTGTATAAACTTTTGTTAACCTGTTGATCTACAAATTTCCGATTTGTACAAGCTTAGACAAAGAATAATAGACTTTTGCGTGTAGAACAAAATCGTTTAGTTGGGCCATTTTGGTTGTCTGATACAAATTTGTTGAGCTATTTCAACCAAACATTTAATTAGGACAACAAAATTATTTGGTTGAACATTTTTAAATTCCAACCAACATTTGGTTACGACAACAAAATAATTTAGTTCGCTCTCAGTTCGTATCTTATGAAAAAAATTAGTATAAGTCTTTCAAACCGCATAGCACAGTATATTTCCTGAACCTTACCTGACCCTAAAATTGCAAGTTTAGCAATATTGAAATAGATGTTTCAACAATATTAGTGTAATTTATTAAAATGTCCGCATGTGACAAAATATTGACGCAAAACTTGAGAAAATATTTAATTGAAATATTTAGGATATTTTCAACATTGAATAATGCACACTAGTTGCGCTTCGTTTCTATGGCCCTTACGGTTGCGTATTTTAAAGCAAGATATTGTAAGTTTTAAAAAAGTTAGAGACTTGTAACTTAGATGGTTAGAAGGTTTATAAAATTTTTCGTCTGAATGTATGTCAAGAAAATGTTTTATTTTTTAGGCATTTATAACTCCCAAAAGATTTCAAGAAAAAATTATGCAATATCCTTACTTTCGTACTAATTGCGAGTCTTAAAAGGAAAAAAATTCTCTAATTGAAGTCATGGATATCTTGGATATGTGTAAGAAATCTCTGACAGAAGGAATTTCGCAAAGTTATTTGCCATTACATATGGGAAAATCTCTGGAACTTTTAACTATTATGTCCCTCGCGTATATTTTGTTAATTCCAATGAAATTTTACCTGGTTTTTGTTGGAAAAATCAATACTTGATACGAGCAATCATTTCCAACAGGTTTCACATTAATTTATTAAATAAATAAATAATTATTTAATTTTCAATGCACGATTTTCAACAATTTCTACTTGTCCCTAACCATACTTTGTGGTGCTTTAAACGATAAAACTTTATTATTAAAAAAAATTACCAGTTCTAAGATACGTCATTTTAAAGTTAATTAAACGATGAACACATTTTCGCAAGAAAATTAACATTTTGTAAATTGTAAAAAAAGTTATAAGCTTTTAAAAGTTGTCCCTCACTTTTAACCTTTTTGACTGCAATCCTCTTATTTAGCATTTTTCTTTAATAAGACAATTGGCACACCAAAATAACTTATGAGAAATTAAAGTTCAAGTCATTAGAATTACTTTGAGACATATTAAATTGATGTGCCTCGTGTCTTAAAAAAATTATTGTAATTTTAATAACAGAAAACACGTGTGTACAAAATTTGAAAACGACCGAAATACGAGTGATACTCCACGAAAATCAGTGTGAAGTTGACGATTTTCATTTTTTAAATAGAAACTGTCAATATAATTAAAACCTGAAGGTTAAGTTTAAATGTTTATTTTGAGATTTATATACAGACGAAAATGAATCCTTTGAAATTAATTATCAAAAGAGATAAAATGCGAGAGAAAAGAAAAATTGAAAACGAGAAGCGAGAAATGAAACTGGAAAATTTACGATTATTAAATTTAAATACAGAAAAGTCTTTGAAAGATGTTTGGTATTTAAAAATTATAGTTTTACATTTTTAATTCCATTTAATTTAACTTAAATATATTTATCAAATAAACATTTTAATTTTTCAGTAGCTCAAAAACAAGCAAAATGAAAAGTGAAATAAAAAATAATTTGAGATCAAGTAAGAGTGATGTCAGTGATTCTACAGTTTGTGCTTCGGTTGAAAATAATACAGATTTTGACAAGTAATTAAATTATAGTGATTTCTTTTATTATTATTATTATTATTTCTTTTATTCTTTTTTTTATTATATTTGTTTTTATATCTACTACGTTATGAGAATTTTATTTTAAATAAATGTTGAAAGTATTAACCAAATTTTATCATTTTTAAAAAATTGTAACTTCACAGTAATTTCCTTTCCATTGTTTTTCATTCCAAAATCAACCACCTGTTGAATACTTTTCTGTTTTAGGTTAACAATAATTTGCAATTTTAAATAATTAATAACTTTTTTAAGACAAAAAATTTTATCTGTCCACTTATATAATTTGAAATCTTCGTACTTGAAGTTTATGTTGACAGAGTTTCAATACTGTGCTCGAAAAAAAGAATTTTTTTTTTCCTTTATTGAAAAGTTAAAAGTTCCAGAGATATGCCCATATAAGAACCATTTTACGCAAATTTCAAAATGATGGTTTTGAAAACGAAGTTTTAATTCTTAAAGATGAAATATTTAAAATGTATACAGCGTGGTTGGTTTATTTAAATCTGTGGCTGAAATCTTTTGAAGAATTTTAGTGTTTTAAATTGATGGATTTTAAAGAGGTTACAGAATGGGAACAAGTTTCAAAGACAGAATATTTAAAATTGAAGGACACGATTATTTTTAGACAAAAAGTGTCCTGTTTAAAAGGCAAAAAAGATGAAGTTTGGGTTCAATTTTCCAAGAAGTTGGACAACAAACTTCTTCCAAAAACCTTGTATAGTCGCGTTTATGACATAAAAAAATTGTTTAATAAGAAGTTAATGTCAGTGACAATAATGATGATAATACTGCCGTCCTGATTTAAAAAGACACTATCTACATTTGTCGCTTAGGTCGTTATTCAGTAGTATCAACACACAAATGTGAGCCGAAGCAACAAATGTAGATAGTGAGGAAAATAATTTATTTTGACATAGTTCTCAAGCTTACCGCCATAGTTCAAATCTTAAAAAATCTCAAAAAAAAAGATTTTATCCTTCGACATCCTACTGCCAAGGTTCAAATCTTGATGAACATGATTCTGAACCACGGGAAACGGCCATAAGAAATGTTTTGATAGATTTACCCCATAGTTCGAAGGCTTTCTAACCTAAGCTAAAGTTTTCGCCCATACTTTTCTAGCTTTGGCCATGCTTTCGCTGTAAGAAGCATAATCTTAAATGCTTGCATGGTAAGCTTGCACTTGTAATCACAAGCACTTACGGCTGAGCAGTAAATTTTTTTGACCTCCCAGGAACTGGTGCTCAATGTATGTACAAAAATAAATTTCCTTCCCCCAAAAATTTTTTTGTTATATTCCGGGACATTTGAAGCTTGCCGAGTAAAGTTGGCAATATTGCGCGGCAAGCTTGCCGCAAGATTGCTGCAAGCTTACATGCTATCTGGCACGACAAAAAGCACCTTAGCTTCCAAAACAGAATTTTACAGGAAAGGCGTATAAATTCGAGTGTTCTGATTGGATGAAACGCGACAGCGAAAATCAGCCCCACTACCTTACTACTACATCGTTCCTACAGCTCACGGATACGATAAGTATACTAGTAGTAGTGGTGGTGAGGATGGTTTCCGTAGACCGTGGTAGAAGGCGATTGACATGGTCATGTTTAAAGCTTTATTACAAAGAAACTAATTAAAAAAAATTTAATTTTTGACTTTTGTATATGAAAGAACATCTTAAATACTACCGATTCGCATATAAAACTGAAAATTAATTTTTTGGGAGCTAAAGAGCTTTTTGTCGTGTAGCGTCACATATGTTTTCGAGACTGTTCATTACAAATCAGAAGACCGTTTACAAAAGTAAAAAATGAAGGATTCAATATGGTTCACATATTTTTCTAAATTCAGCGGATTTTTTTGAAACACGTTATTCAGGGGTTTTGAGGTCAGCACTGATTACTAACCTAACATTAGTAAATTATAATGATTTTTAATTTTCTTGTTCGTCACTATGGATCCGCCATTTTAAATTTTGAAAAACTAACATCAGATTCAAATTCAGCGACCTTTAAAACCCCCCAAGTAACGAGTTTAAAATGAAACTAACTTTATATTCGTAATTATTAACTCCAAAAACAACCCCAGTGAAGAGTTTTAAGCGAATTTTAAATTAAGTTACTTTTGAGAAGACCTATTGGATTTGGGTTTTTGAATTTTATATGCAAACACACTCTCCATTTGCATTTAAAAGTGGTTCTCGAAAATATCATGCATTTGATCCTCAAAGTAGTCCTCAAACACGTCCTAAATTTGATCCTTAAGAAATTCTCAAACTCGCCCTAAATTTAATCCTCAAAGAAGCCCTCAAGCTCGTCCTAAATATGATCCTCAATGAAGTCATCAAACTTGTCCTAAAGGATCCCACACAAGCTATAAGGGAAAAAATCTTTCGGTCAAATTTTTTTAAACTTTGAAGTTTTGTAGCTTCTGAGCTGTACTACGCTGAAAGCATAAAAACTAGGCGAAAAAAATAAGTTTTTCTGGCTCAAGGCTTGCCTTCGACCCAAGGCTTGGCTTTGGCTTAAGGCTTGGCCAAGCCTTGAGCCAAACTGAAATCTTAAGCCAGAGGGATTTTTTTTCGCCTAGTTTTTATGCTTACAACGTATTACAGCTCCGAAGGGTTTCTTTTTTGGAGGTTTTGTTATAAACATTTTTTGTTTGGGAGATGATGACCTACAAAACTACAAAGTTTAAAAAAATTTGACCAAAAGATTTTAACCCTTATAGCTTGTGCGAAGCTCTGTTATCCTCAAAGTAGTCAAACACGTTCTACATATAATCCTCAATTTAGTCTTTAGACTGGTCCTAAATTTTATCTTCAATAAAGTTCTCACACTCGTCCTGAATTTGATGCTCAAAGTAATCCTCATACATGTCCCAACATTTGATCCTCAAAAAAGTCCTTAAACTCATCCTAAATATGTTCCTTGAAGTAACTTTCAAACTCGTACAAAATTTAATCCACAAAGATATCCTCAAATTCGTCCTACATTTCATCCTCAAAGAAATGCTTAAA